CCATCTTACCAAAAATACAAAAATTAGCCAGGGGATGGCAGCTGGCGCCTATAGTCCCCACAGCTGGGAGGCTGAGGCAGGAGAATGGCGTGAACCCGGGAGGGAAGATGGTGCCACTGTACTCAGCCTGGGTGATGGGTGAGCAAGACTCCGCCTCAAAAAAAAAAGCCAAAACGAATTAATTATGCCTCAAAACACTGGAGGCCCAATCATCAGTGCCAAGACAGGACGGGTCCTTGGATGGGGGTGTTTCACGCCTTGGCCTGGGGAGACCATGTCAAGAAGGATGGGGTATACCATATACAGCTCCCCACGTCAGCACTTCTGACACCTGTGTGCAGGGTCCATCCCAGACCTAAGCCCAGCAGAGGAGTTGGTTGGAAGCCAACTGACATTGCACCAGCCCAAGGCGACATTTGTGAAACTGCCAATTAGCTAATCTCCAGGGTTTGCAACCAGGGAGGGTAGTGGGCGCACGCAGGGCCCCACCTTGAAACATGCTGCTACACATCCTTTCTGATTCCCAGACCTGAGGTGACAGGAACTCTGGGAAGCAGCAATAGGGAGGGCCAGAGGCCACTCAACTTTCCTGCAAGGCTGACTTGAGTCAAGGCTCTGGGGGTGTGCAGGTGGCTCATGCAGCAGCTACAGCAGGCCACTGTGGCGACACAGACCTCGCCGCCCAAAGGGTCTGGCCAAAGAGACAGTTGGTCTCAACAAAAGACCTTCTCATTCCTCAATGAAAACGCAGCAGCCTAGTCCAGTTACAAAGTACTCACTGAGGAATAGCAGGCACTTATTTTTACCTGCGCCAGAGTCCTCTAAAGTCAAGGCTTGTAAACTCGCCAGATGAGATGGCATGCCTGGGGTCTCTCCGGCCATGCTGGCTGGCTGTAAGCTGTGTCTGCCTCAGCCCCACCACCACTGCTGACTATGTGTTCTAAAGAGGCTAAGAAATTCAGAGTTGATGTCACAGATGCTCAGCGCTCTAGCTGGGGTGGTAATAGATGAACAGTAATGAAATCATCTGAGCAAAAGTCAGCCTTAGAACATGCAACTTTTCTTTAAGATGGGGGTCTTGCTGTGTGTCAGGCTGGTCTCCCCAGCCTCCTTGAGTAGCTGGGATTACATGCATGTCAAAGTGATCAGCTCATCAGCCAGGCTGTCATGTAAGGGAATGGGTGTTAAATATTACCCTCCCACATGTGAGAGCATCATCTCGCTTCTCCTCCCCTGTTTGCTCCATTTCTTGGTGACCACCATTCTAACAAACCTGGATGCCAGTGCAGGACAAGGTGTTGTTACAGCTCCTCTTTTTTTTTTGGTTATCTCATTGTCACCAGGCTGGAGAGTGCAGTGGCGTGATCTCGCTCACGGTAACTCTCCGCCTCCCAGGTTCCAAGCATTCTTCCACCTCAGCCTCCCTGAGTGAGCTGGGCTGCAGCACCCACAATCATGCCTGGCTAATTTTTTTTTTTGTAGAGACGGAGCCACCATGCTGGCCAGGCTGGTCTCGGTAACTGACCGAGTGATCCAGGAAGCAGCCCTCTTCTGCCTGTGCTCCTCCTCCCAGCAGGCCCAGCGCCACCTGCCAAATCCTCCTCCATTGCTCAGTCCATCAGCTACTCAGCCTGGACACCGCTCCACCAAGTCATTAGCCTGCAGGCCTGGCCTCGGCCCCTAACCCAACCCCGGCCTCCAGGCACCCGGGAAAGACCTGGATGGAGCCCTCCGGGACTCCGGGAGGTCTGGGTTGGAGCCTGAGCTGGTCCCCTGTCTACTCCTGGCCTGGTGGCTCAAGAGGCCTGAGAAGGTAGGGCACGTGGGTTCATAAGCTTTACCCAGCACCACCAGGCCTCTGACTCCCCAGGACTTCCACTCAGCCTCATGATGATGCGCCCTCCTGCTTCGCCGCTTGTTCGCTTGAGGCCAGTGCTGCCTGGCCAGGCCTGGAGCGAGCCCACCACCACAGCAGCCCAAGAAGGGAAACTCCTGGGTGGGCACTGACTTACTGCTTCAGAGCAGGAGATACAGTGGATCTCAAGCCAGAGCCAGGCTCACAGAGTCCATAGAACTGCAGACAGGAACCCTTGGCTGTGATCTCGGCCTCATAATGACATCGCAGGCCGGGCCAAGGCAGCCATCCCACCCCTACCTGGAGAAGAAAGGGCAGGCCTCGGCCTGCAGCCTCGTGATCCTTTGGATGGCAGCAGCTGTGGCCTGGACGAATACCAGCCACTCCAACACCATGACACCAGCTCACATCAGCCCTGGGGCTGCCAGGTCTGGGGCCCGTGACTCTGTCAATGTGTCGCTGTCAGTTATTCCCACAAACAGGCTTAACAACCCAGCACACACAGCTGAGATGATTCTCAGCTGCCACCCAGGCAGCAGCTGAGTGACGACACAGTACCCTGGCAATTTACAGCCATTCGGGCCCTCCAGGGCCAGGCAGGAACGGGCCAGGTAGAGGGGAGAAGCCACAGGAGCACAGCTGGGAACACCCACTCCCTCCACAGGGGCTGGCCTACAGGTCCACGATACCAATGCAACCATCTCAGGAGAAACCACAGCCCCTCTGTTTCCTGCCGTACTTATATGAAGTCAAGTCTCTCATCCACAGGCTGGACGAAGGACTTTAAAAAGGGACAAAAAGGCTTCTACCTTTGGAGTCCCTTCCCCAGTGCGCCTACTCCTTCCCCAGTGCGCCACACTCCCTTCCCAGTGCCCACACTCCTCCCAGTGCCCAAATTCCTCTCAGTGCCCACACTCCCTTCCCCAGCCTACACTCCCTTCCCCCCAGTGCCCACACTCCCTTCCCCAGTGCCCACACCTCTCCCCAGTGCCTACACTCCCCTTCCCAGTGCCCACACTCTCTCCCCAGTGCCCACACTCCTCCCAGTGCGCCCACAATTCTCTTCCCAGTGCCCACACTCTCCCGCAGTGCCCACACTCCCTTCCCCAGTGCCCACACTCCCTCCCCAGTGGCCCACACTCCCTCCCCAGTGCGCCCACACCCCCTTCCCCAGTGCCCACCCTTCCCAGTGCCCACTTCCCCAGTGCCCACACTCCCCTCTCCCCAGTGCCCACTCCCTCCCCCAGTGCCCACAATTTCTCCCCAGCATCCACCCTTCCCAGTGCCTACACTCCCTTCCCCAGTGCCCACTCCCTTCCCCCAGTGCCCACACTCCCTTCCCCCAGTGCCCACTCTCCCCAGTGCCCACACCTTCCCCAGTGCCCACACCCTCCCCCAGTGCCCCACTTTCCATGAGTGCCCCCACTCCCTTCCCCAGTGCCCCCACTCCCTTCCCCAGTGCGCCCACACTCCCTTCCCTGGGTCTCATCGCACCAAGAACCAACAGCACACAGTCACAGGGCACCTCAGAGCTCCAATTTCTCATCCCGTGACCCAAAGGAGCTATTTCTGCAGTTCTTAAAAATAAACTGGTGGCCGGGCGCGGTGGCTCACGCCTGTAATCCCAGCACTTTGGGAGGCCACGGCAAGCAGATCACCTGAGATCAGGAGTTTGAGACCAGCTTGACCAACATGGTGAAACTCCGTCTCTACTAAAAATACAAAATAAGCTGGGCGTGATGGCACACGCCTGTAATCCGAGCTACTTGGGAGGCCAAGACAGGAGAATCGCTTGTACCTGGGAGGCAGAGGTTGCAGTGAGCTGAGATTGCGCCATTGCACTCCAGCCTGGGCAACAAAAGTGAAACTCTGTCTCTAAAAAATAAAAATAAAATAAACTGGTGACAGATTTTTCTCCCAGCACCTTAGTCATGTAAGTTACCAGATACAGAAAGTCAAAAGCAAATCAAAAATCTGTTAGCTTAATTCAGCATCAGTCAGCAAGCCCCAGCCCCGTGTGCGACCGCGCAGGTCCAGGCTGCCTGGCCCAACGGCTGCACACGGTGTTCCGGGTCTCTAGGCTGGTCCAGTTTCCTCCAAAGCAGCCCTGACTCCAGTTCCTGCCCCTAAGCGGACAGACGCCCTTCCTGTTCCACTGCACACCCAACTCTCAAGAATTCAGCACAGAGGAGTGAACAAGGAGGGCCACACATTTTAGCGGCGATTCCAACACCTTAGGCAGAGCCAAGGCATCAAGGAGAGCAAAACCAAACGCTAAGATGTAAAAACACCCAGCAGCCAGGGTCAAAAAAATGGGGAGGGGTACACAGTGCAAGTCCCCAGGTCCCAGGCTGGCTGTCCCCACCCTCCTTCCCTGGCATGCCCTGTGGCAGCAGCAGCTGGTCCTCATTCCAGACTAAGGGCTCGCTGTAGTGGTTCCCTCCGAGGCTGTCCCCCCACACGCTTCAAGGTGGTTCCATAGTGGAACCGACTTCTTCAAAGAGGAATGATGGGCCTCCTTCGGGCAACCGCCCTTAGCAGGGGTTAAACGGTTCTGAACAGAGCAGCCTTTTCACCTTCCCCTGGGCCAAAGCACACACGCGTTCTCTGCTTTCCCTGCACACCGGCCGCTCAGATGGGCTTCTCCACATTCCCAGCCCCTCAGTGCCCATCAGGGTTCCCTCTGCAGCCCCTGCCCAGCCCGACACGGCCAGAACGGCCGGAACGACCCGTGGCCCAGGCTCAGGCCGCAGTGTGGCCCCTGACCTTCCACTGCCTTCAGAGGCCGACACGAGGTTCCCGCCCCACGCTGGGGGCAGCGTCCTGTCCCGGAGCCGGTGTCTCTTCACGCACCTCCACCGCCCTCGCACAGGCGGAGCCACCCGGGGCTCGGTGTCAAGAGGTCTGCGAGCTCCTACCACGCAAAACGCCACAAGCACACGGCAGAGCCCGGGGGCCGCCCCGCGCCCACCTCGGGACGGCTCCGCTGGTCGCACGACGCGCGCTCCTTCCCCCACCCCACTGCCCGCTCCGGCGCGGCGCCCCTCTGAGCCCCCGGAAAGCTCTGGCGCCCCTCGCTGAGAGGCCGCTAGTCTTCCTGAACTGCACCCTCCTCACCTGGTTGGCAAATCCCCGGAGGTGAGCCATGGCCGGGCCGCCTCAGACCCTCCGCCGACAGCCCCGAGAGGCGTCTGGATCCCGCGGAGAGGCGTGGAGCCGGCTCGCTCGCCCCTGCGGCGTCAGTCCACTGCGAGGGACAGCAGCAGCGGTCGGCGCCCAGTTCAGTCATCTGAGACCGAGCTCCGGGGCGGCGGGCTGGAGGGGGGCCCCAGGAGACCCCCAGGCCATCGGGGCCCCGCCGCGCCCGGGCCTACAGCCCAGGCTCCCGGGGACTCACCGCCCCTCCCGTCCCCGCCCCCCCACCTCTTCCGAGGCAGCTTCCTCCCGGTGCCCCCGCCCCGGAGTCCCCGCCACCGAGCCCCGCCCCGGGCCCCTCCCTCCGCCCCCTCCCCAATCGCCGCTAGCGCGCGCCCGGCAGCGCGCCCACCTCCGCGGGGCTCCATCCCGGCCTCCCCCGGCCCGCTCTGCAGCGCCCGCGAAGGCTCCCACCCGCAGCCTCTGTTCGCCGGGGGACCCCGGGCCTCCCAGCCCGCGAAGCAACGGCGGTGGCGGCAGCGACAGCAGAAAGCCCGGAGGAGGCGACGGCGAGGGCGGTACTCGGCGTCGCGGCCCGCGCACAGCTCTCTGGGACCCCGAGTCCCACCGCCCATTCCGGGCCCGGAAGCCTGCTGGCGTTGGACTACAAGTCCCGGCAGGCCGCGAGAGAGGGGCGGGGCTCACATGCGCGCCGCGAGGCTCTCTGGGACCCCGAGTTCGGCTCCCGGAAGGCTTGGACTGCGTCTCCCGGCAGGCCGCGCGGCGGGGCGGGCGGGGCACGTGGTCGTTGTCGCGTCGCGCCTTCCGTGCCTCGCCCTCGCTGGCCCTCTGCGTCTGCTGGCGCCTGCAGGGCGTCGTCTCCGACGTGACGGCGGCCGCGCGGCGTTTCCCTTGGGCTCTGCCCTGCGCAGCCCTGGTCCGAGCTGGCCAGTAAGGTCCCGCGCCCTCCCCGCCTCGCCCCGAGGATCCACCGCGGCCGCCCAGGCTGCTGGCCTTGTCCTCACGGCGAACCCCTGTTCGCACTGAGACCCTGCCCGGGATCATGCGCACAGGCCAGGGCGCAGCAAGCCTTGGAGAAGCTACCTGCACAGCCCATTCCTTGGGCGAGCTTCGCATCTTCTGCCTCAGTTTCCTTACCTGTAAAGGGGTGATCATAGGACATCCTTGGTCACACCGTTGTGGGACCCACCTGGGCTAGAGCGCGGTACGCGCCCAGGACAGTGACTGCTGCTGGAAACCGTCGTGGCACTGGGGTCACCTCCCCAAGGTCAGGGAGGGACTTGCAGAGCCCAAGGCTACCTGGTGCGCCCCCCTGCCCCGTGGGCCGCCAGGTCATAGTGCCCCCTGTGTGCATTCCCCTGGTGCACCGCAGGGATCCCCACCTGTCCGGTGAGGAAGATTTGTCTCTCCTCCACTCTGTGTCCACCCTTACAGGCCCTCAGTTTCCATGATGGCTCAGCACAGATGACTATCCTGACCACCTCACACCCCTCCTTCCTCAAGAGGGTTCTGGGGTTTCTCTTTGCTCCCTGGTGCCTGTTTTCTCATGGTGCGTTGCCAAGTCCTTTAAGAAGCCATGTTTCCCTGTCATGCCTCCAGGACAGCCCCTTGAACTTGGGTCCCCATCTCATCACCCCTGCTTGTTTACATACTGACTTGGTTTTGTTTGTGCTTTGACTCCCCAGGAGGAAGTGGGCTTCCTGCAAGCAGAGCTGTGCCCAGGACCATGCCAGCCCATGACAGGCACTAAGTTTGTTGAATGAATGTGTAATATATGAAGGTAATATATGTATTGAATGTGTGTAAATAGATGCCTGCTGCATCTCTGGCCTTCATGCGGTCAGTAATTGCTGCACTTTTCAGAAGTGTCTAGAAGAGGCTGGGAGCTGCGTGAACCACCGCGCCCGGCCCGAGACAAAATTTAAAAATAGATTAATTCGAATTCACCAAATTGAAAACTTGTATGCTTCAAAGGACACCATCAAGAAAGTGAAAAGGCAGTCTACCCAATGGGAGAAAGTATCTGCAAATCATCTATCTGATAAGAGACGTGTATCCAAGATAGATATTTTAACAAGTTCTTACCATGCAATAATACAAATACAAATAATCCAATTTAAAAATGGGGAGGGGGCCGGGCGCGGTGGCTCAAGCCTGTAATCCCAGCACTTTGGGAGGCCGAGACGGGCGGATCACGAGGTCAGGAGATCAAGACCATCCTGGCTAACACGGTGAAACCCTGTCTCTACTAAAAAATACAAAAAACTAGCCAGGCGAGGTGGCAGGCGCCTGTAATCCCAGCTACTCGGGAGGCTGAGGCAGGAGAATGGCGTAAACCCGGGAGGCGGAGCTTGCATTGAGCTGAGATCCGGCCACTGCACTCCAACCTGGGCGACAGAGCCAGACTCCGTCTCAAAAAAAAAAAAAAAAAATGGGGAGGGCCAGGCATGGTGGCTCATGCCTCTAATCCCAGCACTTTGGGAAGCTGAGGTGGGAGGATAGCTTGAGCCCAGGAGTGTGAGACCAGCCTGGGCAACAGAGCAAGATCTCGTCTCTACAGATAATTAAGAAAATGAGCCAGGCGTGGTTGTACATGCCTGTGGTCCCAGTTAGGAGGCTGAGGTGAGAGGATCACTTGAGCTTGGGAGGTAGAGGCAGCAGTGAGCTGTGAGCTTGCTCTACTCCAGCCTGGGGAGTAGAGCAAGACCCTGTCTCAAAAAAAAAAAAAAAAAAAAAAAAAATTGCAGGGATATATTAATATTTGTGTTACAACATTGTTGTTTATCTGAAATTAAAATTCCACTGTGTGTTCTGTATTTTATCTAGCACCCTAAAGGAACAATTATCCCTCAACTGAAAACTACTCTGTTCCTGCATAACAAATCTTAGACCAAGACCTGAAGAGATTCAACCATTTCCAAGTAACTTAATTGCATCCAAGAACAAAGCTCAGGAATATTTATAGGAATACAAAAATATGCAGCACCCAACCAAGTAAATTACATGACAATGATAATCTCATGGAAAGTTACCAAGCACACAAACAGCAGGAAAATACTAGCCTTGGCCGGGCACAGTGGCTTACACCTGTAACCCCCGCACTTTGGGAGGCCAAGCAGGAGGATCACAAAGTCAAGAGATCAAGACCATCCTGGCCAAAATGGTGAAACCTCGTCTCTACTAAAAATACAAAAATTAGCTGGGCGTGGTGGCGTGCACCTGTAGTCCCAGCTACTCAGGGGGCTGAGGCAGGAGAATCTCTTGAACCCCGTAGGCGGAGGTTGCAGTGAGCCGAGTTCTTGCCACTGCACTCCATCCTGGCAACACAGCGAGACTCTATCTCAAAATATATATATATATATATATTAGCCTTGAGGAGAAAAATCAACCAATCAAAAACAACTCGTAGTTAACACAAATGTTAGAATTAACAGACAAGTATATTAAGTTATTATAACTGTATTTTACGTATGAGAAAAGTTAAGTAGAAACATGGACCTTATAAAAATGCCTGAAAGTAATTTTCCAGAGTTGAAACTATAATGTGTGATATGAAAGATACACAGGACGGGATTTGCAGCAGACAAGACGCTGCAGAGGAAGAGCCTGGTGAGTGTGGCTCTCACCCGTGATCCCAGCACTCTGGGAGGCCAAGGCGGGAGGAGAATTTGAGGCCAGGAGTTTGAGACCAACCTGGGCAACATAATGAGACCCCATCTCAATAAAAAAAAATTTTTTTAAGTTTAGATAATTTGAAAACATAGTGATAGAAATATGCAAAATGAAACAGAATAATTACTTTTTTATTTTTATTTTTTGAGACAGAGTTTCGCTCTGTCACCTAGTCTGGAGTGCAATGGCATGATCTCGGCTTACCGCAACCTCCACCTCCCAGGTTCAAGCGAGTCTCTTGCCTCAGCCTCCTGAGTAGCTAGAATTACAGGTGTGTGCCACCACACCCGGCTAATTTTTGTATTTTTAATAGGGATGGGGTTTCACCATATTGGTCAGGCTGGTCTTGAACTCCTGACTTCGTGATCTGCCTGCCCCAACCTCCCAAAGTGTTGGGATTACAGGCGTGAGCCACCGCGCCTGGCAGAGAGAAGAATTTCTATAAACAAAGAGTGCCATTGAGCCATGGGACAAACTAGGACGTGTGCACATGGAGTGAGTGAAAAACCGAAGGTAGCTGCACTTAGAACATAAACCCTCCCTGGCGAAAAGCGGCACATCTGAGCCTCCAGCAGCCCTTCCTGGCCTCAGGCAGAAGGGAGGCTTCAGCCACAGCTGCCTGGACTCTGAGTTTAACTCACGGGGGTTGGTTGCTCCAGGTTCCCCAGCACAACGTAGCTAAAATCCAAGTCCCCAGACTGCTGCCTCCTATTCCCACATACTCACTTCTCCCCAGGAAGAAGGATGTGCGTGGTAGCATCAGGCACCGATCTCTCTGTGGCCTTGGCAAGTTACTTAACCTTTTTGAATTAAAATTTCTTTATTTCTAAATAGGAGTGATACACCCTTGTGGGGGCTGTTTATTTGGGGTATGTGGGAGTAAAATAATTCAATGAAAAGATGAAGAAAACTTGCTGAAGAAGGGCCATGCGGGGCATGGTGGCCCACACCTGTAACCCTGGCTACTCAGGGGGCTGACGTGGGAGGACTGCTCAAGGCCAGGAGTTAAAGACCAGCCCTGGGCAACATAGCCAGACCCAGTCTCTACAAAAAATTCCAAAAATTAGCCAGGCATGGTGGTATGCCTGTAACTCCAGCTACTTAGGTGGCTGAGGTGGGAGGATTGCTTGAACCCACAAAAAAAATTAAAAAAAAAAAAGACTGGGTATGGTAGCTCATGCCTATGATCTCAGCCCTTGGGGAGGTCAAGGTAGGAGAACTGTTTGAGCCCAGGAGTTTGAGACCAACCTGGGCAACATAAGGAGACCCTGCCTTTACACAAAATTTAAAAATTAACTGGGCATGGTGGCAGCTGCCTGTGGTCCCAGTTACTTAGAAGACTGAGGTGGGGGGATCACTTAAAGAGCCCATGAGGCCGAGGATGCAGTGAGCTGTGATTGCGCCACTGCACTCCAGCCTGGGTGACAGAGTGAGGCTCCCTCACAAAAAAAATAAAATAGTTACAAAGTAAGAGAAGATACTTGGTGAAAACTGAGTTGCCCTCGCATATGTCCTGTCTCCAGCTCTCCTCTCTGAGGGGCGCCACTGCTGCACCCTCGGGGGCCTTTGTGGAGCATCTGTGCATGGAGAGGCAGGCACACTTACATGTGTATTATTCTATCTTTATACACATGGTGGCCGGCAGTGCCCTTCCCTCTGCACCACAACATAGACAGACCTAGCTTCCCACAACAGAACAGTAGACGTCTGCATAGGACTCTACTCTAAACAAATTAGCGCTGAGCCGTAATGGAGCGTGTCCCTGTAGGTGAGTATTTAGGGCCCTCCTGACCTTTGCTGTTACCGTGAACCCTGAAGTGGGCTCCCTGTGAGAGCATATAGGAACGATTCCTAGAAGGAGAGTTGCTGAGTCAACAGGTACAAGTGTTGAAAATGCTGACACAGGAGACTGCCCTCCATGGTGCTGCACCCTTCGGATCCTTCTCCCCACCCCTGGGGTAATTAACAGCTCAGATTCACTTCGCAGGTTCTAAGTGCTTCCGCCTTTCAACTCATTTTGTCCACCCCACACCCTGGGAGAAGGGTTTATGACTGTCCCCATTACAGCTGAGGGAGGCTAGCGGCAGCTCGGCAGCTCAAGGCCACGTTTGTGAAGGTGAGGGGCTGGGGTTGGAACCCAGGAAGGCTCGCTGCGGTGGCCACACGACCGCCTCTTGCTGCCTTTCCATTAACAAACTTCTTTATCCTTGCTAATCTGACATTTTTTTAAAAATAGTTCTCACTGTGGCTTAAAAAAATAATTTAATCCAGGCTGGGCACAGTGGCTCATGCCTATAATCCCAGTACTTTGGGAGGCCAAGGCAGGCGGATTACTAGAGTTTAGGAGTTCAAGACCAGCCTACCCAGCACAGTGAAACCCCATCTGTACTAACAATACAAAAATTAGCAGGGCATGGTGGTGAGTGCCTGTAATCTCAGCTACTTGGGAGGCTGAGGCAGGAGAATCGCTTGTACCCAGAGGTGGAGGTTGCAATGAGCCGATCGCGCTACTGCACTCCTGCCTGGTGACAGGACAAGACTCCGTCTCAAAAAAATAAAACTAAATAAATAAATAAATAAATAAATAAATATGTAATCCATATATATTTCTGTTTGCATCTCTAAAACATAAGGGCTTTAAAAATATAACTACAATGCCATTTTCACACTATTAAAAATTAACAAGAGGGTTTCGATTCCAGGTAAGATGGAGTAAGCAAGTTCCACCTGCCTCTCCTGTGGAATGCAGCTATAAAATCTGGATGCAACTTGTGGAGCAGATACTTGAGTTTTCTGAGCAGTAAACAGCAGCAGATGGATTAGGAAAGACCAAATCTCATCTTGAATTGTAGCTCCCATAATTCCCACGTATTGTGGGAGGGACCTGGTGGGAGATAATTGAATCACGGGGGCTGTTCCTCCCATACTGTTCTCATGGTAATGAATAAGTCTTGCGAGATCTAATGGTTTTATGACGGGAAACCACTTTTGCTTGGTTCTCATTTTCTCTCTTGCCTGTTGCCACGTAAGACGTGTCTTCGCCTTCTGCCATGATTGTGAGGCCTCCCCAGCCATTAAACCTCTTTTTCTTTATAAATTACCCAGTCTCAGGTATGTCTTGATCAGCAGTGTGAAATGGACTAATACAACCAGAATTCAAAGTACCACTGAATGGCTGTGATACCCACTGGTTGGCCCATATGTCTCTTGGTCTGGACAAGCTATGACAAGACATAGACAAGCTGATTCTAAAAATGTGTATGAAAAGCAAAGACACTATAATAGTCTAAACAATTTTGAAAGAGAAAAATAATGTTAAATCATACTCCCCACTTTTAAGCCTTCCTATAAGCAGTGTAGTTCGGGTAAAGGGGTATATACACAGGTCATTTGAACAATAGGATCCAGCAGTAGGCCACACACATACGGTTAACTGATTTCTGACATGGTGCAAAAGCAAGTCAACAGAGAGGAGAATAGTCTTTTCAACAAAGGGCACTGGAACAATCGGACATTCATATACCAAAAAAAGGCAATTTCGAACCACATGCTTTATACAAAAATTTTTTTTTTTTTTTTTTTTTTTTTGAGACGGAGTCTCGCTCTGTCGCCCAGGCCGGAGTGCAGTGGCCAGATCTCAGCTCACTGCAAGCTCCGCCTCCTGGGTTCAAGCGATTCTCCTGCCTCAGCCTCCCAAGTAGCTGGGACTACAGGCGCCCGCCACCACGCCTGGCTAGTTTTTTGTATTTTTTAGTAGAGACGGGGTTTCACCATGTTAGCCAGGATGGTCTTGATCTCCTGACCTCATGATCCGCCCGTCTCGGCCTCCCAAAGTGCAGGGATTATAGGCTTGAGCCACCGCGCCCGGCCACAAAAATTTATATAAATGGGTCATAGGTCTAAATGTAAAAAAGTAACACTATAAAATTTTTAGGTGAAAACATCTAAAATTCTTGTGACCTGGGAATAGAGTTCTTAGATATAATACCAAAGCACAATCCATAGAACCAAACCCATCCTTAAGCTATAAAACTCCCAGAAGAAAACATAGGAAAAAATCTTCATGATCTTGGATTTGGCGATGGTTTCTGAAATGTGACACCAAAAGCACAAGCAACAAAAGAAAAATTAAATTGAACTTCATCAAAATTAAAACTTGTGCACATCAAAGGATACTCTCAAGAGAGTGAAAAGAGAATCCATGGAAGAAAATACTTGCAAATTATATATCTAATAAGAGTTTAATATCTAGAATATATAAGGAACTCCTACAACTCAGCAACAACAAACAACCCAGTTGAAGAACAGACAACTTTAATAGAAAATTTCCCAAAGAAAACATATGAATGGCCAAGAAGCACACAAAAAGATGCCCACTATCACTAATCATTAGGGAAACATAGAACAAAATCCCACTAAGATACCTCTTTAGACCCATCAGGATGGCTACTATCAAAGAAACATAAAATAACCAATGTTGGCACAGTTGTGGGAA